TTGCTCCAGTTCAAGACTGGCAAGGTTTATAGCCATTATACAACATTGCCCTAACAACAATGAAAATTACACGAACATAACAAAAGCACTTCTCTTTGCCTCTTCCGCAGAAGGATGAGAAAGATTTATTGGTTCTTCTCTCTTTTTCAAAACTTCTAGATGGCCTATATGTTAGTCTCTTTAATAGAGTCATCACACCCTAGATTAATTTGGCCATTCAACCGCAACAAAAGCAAGAAGTTGAACACATCTTTGGTGAGAACTAACTCTTTATATCAGCGAGAAATCAACAGCCAAAACAGAAAATATCAGAGTTGTCACTGGTATATAAGGATGACAAGAATAACTTATTCTATAACTGGACTGTTAAAGACTAAAATGGTGCATGCGAGTCGAGGTCCATACTCGCAACTGGATTTAATAAGCATGATGGAGAATAGACTTTATCACAAAACTAGTGTAAGTCATTGTGGTTCTGCAATCATCTGCTTTCGACATTATTGAGTATACTTTTTCCCCTAAAACTTAAAACATAATTCTATAATCCTGCTTGGAAAAAAATGAAGAATAATAGAAATGCCTAGGTTGGCATCTTACAGATCACAAAACTTGGTATTTTTATCTCACCAAAAACAACCTAATAATTTAAAGATGAAATGAGACCTAATTCTCTAAAATCATTGATGCTTCAGTCTCATCCTGTGAATGAGCTCCATGTCTCTAAAAATTTTTAAAAAAATGACAATCATCTTAATAACCATCATGATAATAATAAGAAGAGGTTTCATTTTGAATTTGACCAAGGTAATCCATCTGTTGTGTACGAAGGCAGAGCACCCAACAACCAGGGAGTCCAGGCCCACCCTGAATTTTTTTGATATATATTACATGTATTTTAAATGCTACTCTTAACATATTTATTAGATTCACCAAAAATCTAAAACCTTACCCCCTGTCGTGTATAGCAAAGTAGGCAAGTAGCATTATACTCTCATCTCTTCTTTTGTCCCTTTACTCTCATAAGTCATCGCCAAATCTCCACTCCCCCCTAGTCTCTCCCCATACTCTCATTATCGATGCACTTCACACTTTAGCATCTTACTGTTATCTATGGGGAGAAAAAAAAACTAAAATTTTGTAGGTAAAGGGCCCATCCAAGAATAAATTCCAGGTTCCACCTATGGTTGTTTTAATTATCCTAAAACTTCAAATACAATCAACAAAATAAACGTTCAGAAAAGGAAACCAGAAAATATAGTGTTACACCAGTAGCTTATACATTTATTATTAAAATTTACAATCAGTAAGAAGTTTGGCATACAATTGATGTTCAACACAAAAAAAAAAAACAGTCCAATGCCCGAGGCTCCAACTACTGCAGGGTCTAGGAGGGTCAAATAGACACAGCGTTACCCTTCATGCAAAAAGGCAATTCCCGCAACTCGAAGCAACCTTACTGCTGCCCTAAGGCCCGCCTCAACAATTAATCTTCAGCAGTTGGAGATATTCACATTTCAAATTTTCATTGGGCAGGAAGTTATGAAACTATCTAGTGACTCACAAAGGAAGCAGAATGACACACCAAGTGCAGTAATTAGTGTTGTTCACGGAAGTCATTAAAGAAGCGTTGACAAGTAAAGTCAAGTGAAGGGTAGAACAGTCAACTAATGAAGGTACTAAAGAATAGACTTCAAATGATAACTCACAGTAGTGCTCCTGTAAGAAAGGATATTATATACTTATTGTCTGCTCGACTGTTCCTAAATGTAGAAGTTTGGATTTCAAAAAAAAAAAAAAAAGAAATGGGAAGCCGGGCATTCATATCTTATAATCCATCCCATACAGCCTCTTTTTACAAAAACCATGGCATGCTGCAAAATTTAGTGACATGATATCCTATCACTGTTCAAAGCATCTACCAATTACCTTGATAAAAACCGTGAACACCACTGTATGGCAACTGGTAAACCTAGTTCTCCCCTTTTTTTCACCAAACACTCTCAAACTATTGCCTTAAATATCCTAAACCCTTCTTTTTAATTTCTTCAATCAATCTCTAAATACATTAGTAATTTTTTTAGCCCTGTCCTTTAAAAATCCTTCTTAAAGTCTCAGAATAGGAAAATATAGTGAAAGGAAGCGGGAGGGAGAGAAAATAGAACACCTTCTAAGGAGGAGTTTGGCAAATCATCAAATTTGTAATCTACTTGCCATTTTATATGTTTTGTGCAGCTTAGAATGTTGTTTTGTATATTTATTGTTCTGGTTGAATTCACAGTCTGTAATTTCATTTTATATGTCCTGTTCCATTATCAATCATCATTTAAATCATCACATGCTTAGCACATGAAGACTTAAGTATACTGCAAGCTCTTTAAGCTCTAGGTGCAAATCAATGTAGAATTTGGAGATCTAAGAGTCGCATCTAATCTTAAATTATAAGCTGCAAAGGGTTGTACTTTTCCCTCCACCATTCTATGCACCCAACCTAACAATTGGCATCTATAAAGTTAGTTTTTTGGGAAAACAGCAAGAATTTTTCCTCCTCTCTTCTTCCCCTTTCTCTTCTATCCTTTAAATTTCTCCCATCCACCTTTGCCGGCTTTGTGGGACATAGAGTGATTGCCAGGCCTAGAAGTCCACATTGTGTTCTCCCTCTTGGTAAGGTCGCCCTCTGCCCCTCTCCTTCCTTCATCTTTATTTCCTTCTACTCCAGCCCTAGCTTCACCATCTTACTCTTGCCGCTGTTGAGGCATTGTAAGCCACCAATGTGCAACCACTGCTTTGCTTGTTAAATAACTCCAGATTGTTTCCACTGCTTGCTTGATTGGCTTGATGTCTGTTTAAACTGTGTTGCTGTGTGATTGCTTGCATTACTAGGAGTAAGAAAATTTGCTCAAATAAAGGTTCTCAAAAAAGTGTCTTATCTTCTATCCATAACCATCCTCATTCACACACACATTCACTATTTCTTATCGTATTCTTGTTCTGCCATGTCTCATATTTCACTTCCTTAGAATACATGTGCCAGTATGTACTCACACAAAGACATCAGTCCAGTCAAAGCAGCATTTGACAGTCACTTTTACCACTTGCAAGATGCATCAACTATTATGAATGAATGCAGATTGAATACAGATTATCACACAAGCACAATAACATCCATTATTTCATACAAAACATTGTTTGTCTTTATTAAAGCAATCTCTAACACACCCATCCATTATTAATTTGAACAAGTAGCCAAAGCCAAGTTAGCTGGATAATGAAGTGAAAATTAAAGTGTCAAATGATAGTGCCTAAAAATTAGAAAGATTCTTATCTCCAGAGTTGAGATTTAGTCAGTCCCAACAATCACAGAATTCTCACAATGGTCAAAAGTCCAACATATATTTAAATAAAAAACTTCTGAATCACCAGGGAAAACTGGGAGACGATCGTAGATGAAATGGGTCAATTTATACTAACCTCTAGGTCTGAAAACTCAAACCAAGGGCAGCAATCCAAAATTTCACAAACAAACACAACCGTGTCACGTAAAAGAAATCCAGCATCTGCTTCCAGCATATCTGAGACCTTCATGAATTGGAGAACAGAATTGTTCCATGTCTTTGTACAAATAGAAGACTCTTTCCAGACAGTCTTGGCTGGATTTTTTTGATTCACCACAGCCATCCTGTATCTGACCCAAAAGTTCTTATCAGGATCACTGCCAACTGACTGATCACTTTCTAGATATATGCATATGGTGTCAAAGGACTCGTAGACACCTGCATCACCCAAAAAATAAACCATCATTCCAGGAAGAAAAGGCTAATAAATGCTAGCGATGATATAAAGGAGAGAGGGCATCAAAAAAAACAATCACCCACCAATCCGCAGTTCACATCCACCAGCTTGAAAGAATTTGCTAAAGATTTTCCGTGTTTCCATTATTTCCTTGAAGGCCAAGAAATTCTCCACCTTCCAAGTAAATGAACTCTTTTTCCCAACTCCATCTACTTGAGGATTAGCACTGTCTGACTCAGTATCCTGATCACTAAATTCCTGTTGTATGGACGTCTCTTTCAAGATAAGAACTTCTGCAGAGAACACAACAGTATCCTGTATGAGAAAACCAGAGTCTTGGCCAAAAAGACTAGTAAGGGTTACAAATTCACGCCAGCCCCAGTCCTTTGCAGCTTTAGAGTACCGGTTCTGGGATTCTTTCGTAACAGACTTGTCCTCCATTTTCTGGTTCACAACTGACAATCGATGGCTCACAAAACAACTCCAATCACTGGCAGTATTTCGTGAATCTGTAACTTCAAGAAATACTGAAAGGTGACATGGTGGCTGAGACTGCCCTGATACCACAAAGATAAGTGAGATATTCATCAGTTCAAATGCTTATGTCAAACATGAACAACTAGTTTAACTATTTCCAATCAAAAGGTTCAAAATAAAAAGAAAACTGGCAATCTATATGCATTTACGGTTATTAGTAAAGAAAGGACCTACCCAACCAAAGAATTTGATATGTTCGCCAATTCTATTCCATAAGCATCACTTAAAGCAATTGTAAGTCTAGCAATCACAATTTCAAGTGAAAAGACACATTTACTACTAATGAGCCAACCTCTCAATTCCTCGGGGAAAAAAAATTCTCTACCCTTTACACAGACCTCAGCAATCATTTATTAGCCTAGACAAATTGTTAGAGTAAGAATGATAAACCACAGCAATACAAAAGTTGCAGAAGCAAACATGCCTTTGTAATGCATACTAATCATTGTCAACAATTTGCAACTATCAACTGTAAGAATGTCAGACAACAGATAATTGAATTATGCTGTCTCAACATGTTAAATACCTCTAGGGTAAACAATAAGCCGACAATCCCGATTCCCGATCTGAAACCTCCTACTCTTGATGCAAAGCCCCGTAATCTTCCTCTTCTTCAAAAGGTCCTTCAACCTCGAGAAATTTTCAATTCTCCAAGTAAATTTCCCCATATGCCCATCAGACTTCCTCGTGCCACTCCCACTCCTCACTCCTCCAATGAACCCCCCATTTTTTGAAAAACTACTCAATTCCTTAATCACATGAAAGGAAGTACTAAAAATTGCTGTATCATCCAACAAGAACCCTGACTCCATTCCCACAAAATCGGACATCTTCATATAATCATTCCACCCCAAGCTTGTATTATCCCCGCTCTTATTATCAGCTGCAAACCTCCCATACGAATCCCTGTGCATGTGATTCAACCCTGGCTTTTGGTTCAACACTGACATCCGAAACAAACACCAGCAACTCCTATCCGAAACAAGTGTCTTCTCCGTATCCTTACTCTCCAAACACATGGACAAGTAATCGCTCCCATTCACCGAGCTCTGATACACACTAATCCGCAGATTACACTCCCCGGCTGGAAAAACTGGGCTCATAATCTTCTGGGTCTTAATCATTTCCTTAAACAAACTGAAATTATGAACTTTCCAAGTAAATTTCCCACTCAATACATCTCCAACCGGACCAGTAACAATCAAATTTGACAGTATATTCGACTGCAATTCATTATTATCACGGGTAAAATTTACAGATTCATTCAAAATTAATATATCAGCAGTAACAAGTACGCAATCATTGTTGAATAGAAACCCTAATTTCGGCTCGAGGATTGAATTGGAGGGGGTAAAATCGCACCAACCGTGGGATTTCTTCTTCGAGGAGAATCGGTGCCAGGAATCGCGATGAATGGATTTGGAGGAATCGGAAACATTTTCAACGGCGAGGCGGTAGCTGGCAAAGCAGTCCCACTTAGACGACGTCGTATTGCGAGGGTCCATGATTTGGAGGTAGATGGAGATGTACCCAGGCAAAGCTTGGGAGTCTCCCTTAGGGTAGATTAAGAGGCGACAATCGAATCCACCGACCTCGAAGTACTTGCTCCAGAGAGCTCGCGCCTTGACTTTGGGGAAATTAGCGATTGTCCATTTACAGAAGGCGGCGTAATCGCCACGCCTCTCGATGGTGACGGATTCCGCGGCGACGCCGGACGACGTGTCTCGGGAGGCTGCCGGATCCTCCACCGCCGTAGTCGATGACGCTGAGGCCGATGTTGATGAAGTCCTCTGAACGGACGGATGTGGTTGGTCGGAGGTTGATAACGACGACGATGATGAAACGGCTTCGGAGGATGATGATGACGGCGATAAGCTGTTGTGTTTCATTGTTGGTTTTTGAGCGTGTATTCTAGTAGGTTTTACTTTCCCTCCCCCTCTTTATATCTCTGTGAATGTGAGAGTGTGTGTGTGAGAGAGAGAATATAAATTCTGTGTAAGGTTTTATTGATGAGATTAGGGTAGAGAGAGAAAGGGAGAGGAGAGGGAGGGGGCTGAGATTATGAGGTGAGAGAGAGTGAGGGCAACGCAGATGGATTTGGCCAGATAGGGGTGGACGATAGATAGTTAAAACACAAAACCTACTCGTATTCAGAATTTTTTTCAAGTTTTCCCCTCAATAGAACGTTAGAGTGATGAAAATAGAAATATCTATTTTCTATCTCCTAAGAAAGGAAAGGAAGAATAGTAAGCAAGATTTTTTTTTTTTTGTGTGTTTGATAAAATGAATAAAAAATAAAAATAATTAATTTTTTTATGTTTAGTATTAATAAAAAAATGAAAAAATATAAATTCATAATATATAATTAATAAATAAGATATATGTATATATTAAATAATATATAAACAAATAACATATATTTTAACGCACATAATTAATTTTTTATCCACTTTTCTCTTAATTTTAGAAGAATTGATTTTGGTAAATTAAAAAAAAATTAATTCATCCACCTTTTCATTCTTCCTATTTTTCTTCTTTACCAAATATAATATTTTATTTATCCTTCTAATTTTTCATCATTTTAACTCTTTATCCTTCAATTTTTTTATTGTAACAAACGGGGGTATTAATAATATAGTTTTAGAAATTTTTAACTTTATGTTTCTTTATTTTTGGAAATTATGAGTGCCCAAAAAATGGCCTAATTGTATTTCTTGTTTGGTTTTTCAAAAAATTAGATATTTTCTCTTAATTTTAGATTTTTTTTAGGGTTAATAGCACTTTTAGTTCTTAAAATATGTATATTTTATTAATTTGGTCATTAAATTATTATTTTATCAATTTAGTTCTTAAAATATTTAATGATCATGTATTAGTCACGTGAGACCGTCTGAAAGAATGACACGTGGTCACATCCAATAAAAAAACTTAACGAATTATCTAGTTATGAACTAAATTGACATGAATTAACACTTTAAGAATTAAATTGACAAAATTAATACATTGATAACCAAATTAGAGAAACATGCATACTTTAAAGATTAAAAGTACTATTAACCCATTTTTTTTTAAAGTTTTTCTATAGAAATGGAGTACGTAAGCAAATGAGAACATATGTATATTTTATAACAAACAATAATCCCTTGCCTGCACATACTATGCAATATTAAAAAACGAACATTAATTATGCAATATTTATATTTTAAATAATAATTTATTTTTTAAATTATACAATTTGAAAATTGAGAGAGAAAAGAGATGTAGGTGGATTGATGAGATTGTTTGACATTAAAGAGTACGTTGATGTCTCAATTGAGTTGTCTGACATTGATAGTCGTATAGAGAAGAAGATATTTTTGAGCGGGAGAAAAATTTTTTGAATGAATTTTTATCATTGGATGAAAATAAATAAAAATCAAATCAATTTAGATAATTGTTGTATTTTTATAAGTTAATTTGTCAACTTCCTAATTGTAATAGTAAATTAATTTTCAAATCCTTTGTTGATGTTATTAGACATGGTTTCCATACATAATTTTATATTTTCACATCCTTTCGAATATACTTTTTCTCGATCTTTGTTAATGATCTATAACCACTGTTTTTTGGATGGGGAACTAGTAATATTTTTGGTCCTTGGTTTTTAAGTTTTTTCTCTTAGTAATATAGTTTTAGAAATTTTTAACTTTATGTTTCTTTAATGTTGGAAATTCTAAGTGCTTAAAACAAATGGGCCAATTGTATTTTCTATCTTGTTTTTAAATATTAGATACTTTTTCTTAATTTTAGATACTTTTATAAAAAAAATTGTCTACAAAAGAAGATGTGTAAGATCTATAATCTATAATATAAAACAAAACATACTTCAATAAACTCATTTGAAGGTTTCAAATAGACTTATTCAATGGTCACCGACACTCCTCTCAAAATCATCCATATTGCATCGTGCCTTCAGACACGAGTTATCTTGATTATAAACATATATACTATATTTTATAATTTTTGAAATTGTTTTGTAATGTTAGTATCTGTTCTAAAAATATAGTAGGCCTCATTTTATTTCATAGTAAATAACCATGAAGGAAAATTGAAGAAAAGTATGTTGAGAGAATGCACTAAAGTAAAATAGGCAAAGACTTTCAAGAATGATGCATCCTATTATGTCATGTTTTTAAGTCATGTAAATTATGTTATCTCAAAATTTATTCAATTTATGTCTAACTCATTTATAATCGTATGTAGGACTTTTTTGAAGGGTAGTTTTTAAGGATTTTGGAGTAAAATAAGTCAAGTCTATTTGGACCTTAATTTTTTTATTAACTTATGCAGAATTTTTTTTGATTCAAAATATTTAGGTTGATTGAAGAAGTTTTATGAGCTTTTTTTTAGACTTTTGTCGTAAACCTTACATAATTTTTTAGTTTATTATATTTATAAAATATTAATAATGAAGTTAAAAATTTTGATATTTATATTTTGGGAACTATTATGCATAATCTATACATTTATGTAATTATTTTTTTATTTTAACACAAAAAAAAGTTAAAAATGACTTCAAACGGACTTTTTTAACTTTTTAAATACTATCCAAATAGTTTTTTGAGACTTTTTTAATGATAACTTTTTTCTATGAAAATCGCAGTTTTTTACCTAAAAAAGCAAATTCCAAACAAGCCCATAATCGAACTCATGTAATATCGAAAATGTATCATCTATAAGTTGTATTTGATTGAGTTGAATTGTATATATATTATATTTAACTTGATTCATATCCATCACTTATTTGACACATCAAACTATTTATTCATTTATCATCCAAACTCTCTAAAATTAAACTTAAAAGTGTTTATTTTTTGCTTTGAATCAGGCATAGTTGCTCATTGTAACAATTATATCAAAAAAAAGGGTCATAGGAACCGGGCTTAAAACCAGAGTAAGTGTTTATTACAACAATAATATTACGTGATCGGTGACACGTCGTATTATCAACCAATAACAATACAACATGTAGGAAAAGTGAATCCCCCTATTATATCATCTTCTCAATAGTAGAAGAAAAAAAGTGTGGGTTTTAGGCTCCAAATATAGATATAGTTAATTAGGCTAGTGTCCCTCATATAATATGTAAATCAATTTTAGTTCAACCAAATTTTTAGTATAAAAAAAAAATTTTGGTTTTTGAAAAAACTTGCATGCAATGGTCTCTGTATTGGCGTGAATGTTAAGGGATTGGTTAGTTTATAGTGCTCATTACCCATTTTACCCTCGTCACGTGATTTCAACCTAAAATATAGTTAGTTTATTCTTTTTTTTTCTTTTTTGCGTTTGTTATTAAATTTTTTGCAGCATTGTCTATCAGTTTTAAAATTCAAACTCGTGAATTAAATAATTTGGACATTATGATGATATCTGATAATCTGTGTTTTAATGTACCTGTCTGACAATCTGTGTTTATGGACAAGAAGGTACATTAATGTTATGTATTTTAGAGTATTTGTTTGATAATTTGTATTTTAGTGTACCTGTCAAACCATCTATCTTTTAGTGTATATGTTTGATGATTTGTGTTTGTAGAGAATAAGATACATTAACGATCTATGTTTTAGTGTACCTGTCTGACAATCTGTGTTTTAGTGTACTTGTCTTATTGCGTACCTGTTATTTTTTATATATTTCGTACCTGTTGTTTTCAATTTTTTATTACATACATGTTATTTTTTGGCTCAAAAGTATACACATCTTTTTTTTAATTGCGTATCCATTTTTTTTTTTAGCATATGTGCCTTACGATTTGTGCTTGTGGAGAAAAATATACATTATGATAACATAAACTTTTAGAATAAATGTTTAAATTAGGTGATGACATTGTCATTATTTTTTGCAATTATAAAGAGCGTTAGTTATGCCCATTACTTTGATTTTTCAATAGAGCCTTAGTTTAAAAGAAAATTCGCTAGTGGGTTTTTTTTTATGAAATCCTATTTGACCTAAGGACCGGCCTATAAATCCCTCATATAAATAAGACCTCAAAATTTAGAGGGCGATAATATAATATAGATTAAAAATTAAAATTCAATACAATTTTGTCCAATAAGAAAGCTCAAAAAGAGTAAACAAGCAAAAATTATTTTTAAAATTTAGACCCAAAAGTCTAATTCACTTCACACAATCAAATTTATTGAAGGACAAAAAAAGTTAAGAAGAAAATCTAACACCAGCTATTTTTTTTTTTTTAACTTTCTCCTATCAAATACAATATAATAATGATTAATCTTTCTCTCTCATCTACAAAAATAAAAACAACCTTAAAATATTTTTTGCTGTCTCAAACTCGATTTTGTTGTTATATCAGTACAAAAAACACTAATCAAGCTATTCATTTTCATAAAGGATCCAAAGTAAGAATTGATTTAATTTCAAAAAAATTTTTTGAAAAAGTTGTTTTTTGTAACAAGTAAAATATAACAACAAATTAGTTGAAAGTTGCAAAATAAACAAGTAAATGATTTTTAAAAAAATAAAAAAATAGTGGAATAATTCAACAAAAAGATAAAAATGAATGTATTTCTAATAATAGTCAGTCACGTAATACCACAATTTCGGTGAAGTATATAAAAATAAATAAGAAGAACACAAAAATGTTAATGAGGTAATACATTGTAATGCTATCAAAATATTTATGCTCAAATATCATACTATCAATTCAAAATATATGTTTGCATAATTTAGATAAAAAAATCAATTAGTAATTATGAATCTCAAAAAATAAAAATAATAAATTTTAATTTAAAATTATTCTAAATAAAAACATAAAAATAAAATTCATTAACATTTATTGCTTAGGCTTTATATATTCTTTAACCGCCCCTGTACTGTTATAAGGTATTAG